GTACCTATCTTTTATATTATTTGTAAGTTATCTCGCCAGGAAAACTTTGTCTATTTTTTTACACTATCCAGTGCTATTTTGAAAGCTTGTCTATCTTGCCCTGAAAAGTACGCCAGTTTTTCGTTATCCAAGGTTATTCGAAAGGTTGGGCACTCTAAGGGCGATTTCCTTTGAGTTGCCGAGGGTTGGATTTCCACCTTTATTGTCTTCGACCGGTAGGGTGTTGTGTTAACGGACCAGCTCCGTGCCGATGGATTTAGTCGACCCGATATGAAAACAGAAATTACCTATTATCGATAACTTTTTGGTATAAGTTTTGACAGTACAGTCACGGTAATACTATCTATACAGTATTCCAACTCGGCCATATTTTTGAAATAAATGTCAACAGCCCCGCGGTACGTCACGGTATGACAACATGCGATAGGGCTGCTCACCTACAGTACCCATTCTAATTACATCTGTCTACTTAGAATTTCTATCTAGTATTGTGATTGTATTTTTTTTTTATTTAGACAAACAAATTACTTTTTGAATGGAATAGGATAAAAATGCGTGTTGTTTTGTGATTAGTAGATTTAATTTAAAAAAATATACTAAAATAATTTGGAATCTACTAATCATAATGACCTGTTGCTTTAATTTCAGGCGGGTGAAGTCGTGGGCCAAAGCTGGTTTTAAATACAATATAATTTTCATTTCAAATTAAACTTACTGAAAATGACCATTTCTGACAGTTAATGACTAGGTAGTTTTTGACAAATTTGACCGTTTAAGACGGTAAGTCAAATTCAATCAACTTAGTCATTTTCAACACTAGGCCATCGACGTCCGTTCGGCACATTCGCGACACCCCTAACTTTTACTTTCGACCGCGTACCGAGATTTGAAATTCGAAGGAATGCTCGCGTTTCGTCGGTTTATCGCACACGTTACTGCAAAAACAGCTAAAAGTTTGTATAGAGTCAAGCAAGTCAAAATGGAGTATCCAGTGTATGCATTTGCCTGCACTTAGTATATTTGTAAAATGCCTTTATATGGCAGTAAGTTTTGCTGGTTAGTGGATATTAACTTTTCCATTTTCTTCGTAAACCCAGGGAAATGATACACAGGGAAGTGAGATTTTTGATGTATTTTGCCAAAATCATGAATTATATAAACTTCATATCAAATTTAATATTATCAGTCAATGGACGCAAGCGAGTTTGACAATATTGTTTCATAATTGCCCTAAAATAATATAAAATACTGTTATAAATACGTAACAGATGAGTGAAAAGTTGTCTGGCCTAGACACGACAAACGATGATAACAGCGTAGCTGCGTCTAACTGACTGACGATTTGGGCGAAATAAACGTTTCGCTAGGCGAACTTAACTGCATACTTAAATACATAAGAACGACAACGTGGCTTACCCTTTGTTTTGTTACAGATTTTAACGTGTTTATAGGTGGCAGGGAAGTGATACTTAATTCGTGTCGCCTTTGTTCAGCAATCAAAAAATTATGTAAATAGGGAATTCAAACATAATCCATATAGGTTAAATTATGAAAGATACACTAATGGTTACTTTCAATACAATGTTATTTTTGGCTAATTATATTTTTATATATTTTTTATTGTGATTTACATCATGAATTCTGGAATGTCACCCCACAGGGAAATGAGATTTTTTCCCATTTGAAGCCATTTTTGTCTGGGATGTTTTTATTAAAACGTGTTGAAATTCAGTGACCAAGTACTATGTGAGTTAAACTTTATTAATACCCTAAAACGAGAACTATTAATTGGTAATTTAAGGAGCTGCAGGTTGAGCCCCGTAAAATTCCCTGATTTGTAGAACTACCCGTATGATATTATTACCGTGGTACAGTCCACCTCTATTTTGAAGGCTCGAAATTGGAGCACAAAGTAAAAGAAAATTGGATTCTAACGTTTGCAGCGTTACAGACGCGATACTACAGAAGTCGGACCCAATCTATAGTGGTTTGTAGGAAGAATATAGGACCTAAGTCTTAATTTATTGAATTTTAGGGTTTAAACCAATTACAGGACATAATCCATGATTGGGAATCAATTACAAAACTTTAAAGCTTCACTAAACATTAATTTAATTAAGCCAACGCAAATATAACACACAGTTGGTAGAAACGAAAAGTTGTTTCTGATTTCATAAAAATCAAACAGCAAGATACTGAATATGCTGTTTTCCAATAACTTAAATATATATTAATGTTACCAAAAATGTTTTGTCTCAGCAAAACACAAGCCAAACAATAAAGACAAGTGTATTACTCCAAATTGCGGGTTTGCCGAAATCGGAGTGCTCTAGAGAGGTCTTGTGAGGACTCGACCTTGTCTCTTGAACCCGTGCCAGCATTGTATCGACGATTGTACGGACAGCATATAATATTATGTATTTCTGTTGCAAAATCGCACTTATGACAACCATATAAGATGCTACGGTCATAAGCTTGATATGCAGCCGTCTGATGTAGGTAAGTACTCGTATAATTCTATATACAGAGTGTGTAGAGATAAGTTGGGTCGCGTGAGTTTTACTTAAACTGAGGACAGGCCCAATTCGATATTTCTAATGGGGCAGTCCTTCGTCTTCTTTACCGAAAACAAAAGTCTAACGTTTATTATACGTACCTACTTTGGACTTCAGGGTGTGGTTTTACATAAAAACAGTTTTAACAAACCACAAGATAGAGACTGTTGTTTAGTCTATGATTTATTTACACCCTATATCTTTAGTTATGTTTGTTGGCAGACATCCTGACTTTTAGTTTTGCAAACGCTTCCATGTATAGTCAGCTGTTTTTACAGTATGGTAAAGTAGCGTATTAATTTATTATACTTTTTTCCGTAGATCTTTAATTTATGGTACAGGAGGCAAACGAGCTAATATAATCATATCTGTAGGTAATATTTTTCGATTTATTAGCTGATATTCAAGTAATAAGTTCTTATTTGCATAGGCGACAGACAAAAAACAATGACCTTTAGCCAACTTTTTATAAAGTAATTGTTTGGCATTCGCATTTTACAGTAGTCCTTTTCATTATTTATTTTGGTTTCGTTATGTAATTTTATTATTTTGTTTTTATAATACATAATTAAAATAATGTTTTAGATTAATTAGACCCTTAATACAAAAAAGTATTTAAGTATGTTTATATCCCTGGTCTGGTACCCCTAGCTTTGCTTAGTTTGGGACTGGATGGCGCACTGTATGCCCAAGTTCAATGTTCAAGAATATTTTTATATTTTTCTCAAGTTTATTAATATGTAGAGTATTGTAGAGCTAATAAATTAATATTTATCAATATTTAGGCTGAGTTGCACCAACTTACTTTAACCGTAACTATGACAGTTACCGGTGTTTTTTAGGAGTGGAGAGGAGTTTTCGGTGGAGTTTGATAGATTTTGAAGTTTTTAAAGTTAAAATGAGATGGTGCAACTCAGCCTTACTGTCTCTAACATTAGTTTTCTCCATGGAACTTGAATCTATGCAAAATGTAATAATTACATCGTTAATTTGTATTTTATACGTTATTTTATTAATTTATGTGCGCTTTTGACATAGTTTAATAATATTGTCTATCAAATTATACAATGTGGTTGAGTCAGTTTGGAGATTTGTTTTCATCTATGACATTGGCCAAACGGGTTTCATTAAAAGTATGCTAATTCGCATTTCACATATTGGGTATTATTTGTTTTAAGCATTTAAATGGCATCAGAAGTGCAAAATAGTTAAAGTTACTGTTTAGGCAATTAGCTAATGAGTTAATGGAAATATTTTATAGTGATTACACCGCAGACGTGGTTCGATCAAAGAGTGAAATATGAAAATGCATGGCAAAATGGAAAATTGTGTTTTTCATATTTATTATTATCCCAATCCCAACTAATATTATACATGCGAAAGTAACTCTGTCTGTCTGTCTGTCTGTCTGTCTGTCTGTTACGCTTTCCCGCTTAAACCTCGCAACCGATTTTGATGAAATTTGGCATAGAGATAGTTTGAGTCCCGGGAAAGAACATAGGATAGTTTTTATCCCGGTTTTTGAAACAGGGACGCGCGCGATAAAGATTTTCTGTGACAGACAAAATTCCACGCGGGCGAAGCCGCGGGCGGAAAGCTAGTTATTTTTATATATGTATGGTTCTGTAACCCATATGATAGAAGAATAATGTAGTTGTTTGATATAGTTTGACTGGTTATAGTACCTAGGTAATGGTTCAGTGTATGAAACCATAAAATACTCGTAGCAAATGTTGGGAGAGTCGTGTGAGTGGGGTTAACTCCAGTGGAAATAAAGACAATAAAATAACACAACAAATATTTTTTATGGGTTTGCTTGAGTTTCAAAATCAATTTTTATAAAATTTTATATTCTAAGTTTGATAACAAGCGGTAATACTTTGTTATTTTATTTCAATTAATTAATATAGTAATAATGTTGTTACTTTTAGGGTATTTGAGTTTGAATAATAAAATATGCGCCAAATAAAAAAAACCTAAATCTGATAAAACCAAAATTACCTATGTATGTAAAGGGCATTTGAAATTGTCAGCGTACCAGTTACATAATGTAGGCCTATACCCAACCTGAATATAAATACAGCTATAAATATTCTCGTTACCAAGTGTTGCTAACTATTTATACATCGCGACGTGCAATTCGAAACAAGTCCCATTAAGTTCACATCTTCTTACGGTAGAATCGGACCTACTATTCCACTTTCACTATCTATGAGCACCGCTGTATGACATAACATCACACGTACATACAGAGTTTCGCAATAAAAAAGTTTCAAATTAATTAAAGTTACTACTACTGACAAGCTCGCTCCTTCCAGCAACTTCCACAAAGGCACGAAGTTTTAGCGAGTCGTTTATTGCAGTAAATTTAATTTCAATTTCCAACCTCCTTGCGAAATTTGTCTCGAAGTTGTCTAATTAAAAAGAAAATAAAAAATAACTCACAGGGAAAATCCGTCGCCTCAGCACTGGCAACTACACAAGTTCGGAAATTCGAAAAAAGAACGCGTTTGACAGTTAAAGCGGTCGGCTCCGATCGCGGTGTGCAACTGCGGTTTCGTCGCGCGCGCAGGTGAATGTGAGCGTCACTTACCACTCTTGTTTTGCTAGTATTAACCGTTTAAAGACGTGCACTGGATGGTCGGCGCAGCCAATGAGAGGGGGTCTCTGGAAATTGGCAGGGGTATCATCATTTGTCGTGAGCGTTGAACTTTGCGCATCTGTATAGCAATTAATATGCCTCTCAAGTCGCGCATTTTTATTCTTGCAAGCTTTTCGTCGGACAATAACGATTCAAGCCGGTGCCCTATTGTTCGCAGTCAATGGGCATTGTGGCTTTTGACTTTAAATAGAAATAAGGTTTTACATTTGACCTTGTTACGGATCTTGGGAGGGATAATTAAGGACCAACTTCCACTCCTTTTTCAATCCTGCTTTTTGGCTATAAGCGGCTCTTGAAAGGATTCATCCGCTTCGACGCATCTTTTATTGAAAAGTAGAAAAAAAACTCAAATAAACATTTTATTTTACGGCTGTTTTTCTGATACCATTCGGGTATCGGATATCGTGAAATACGGGTGCAGGTTTGAAAGCGGCAGAGGGCAAAAGCTTGGTACAAAGAGAGAGCTTTAGGAAATACATATTCTATCCTTTAGATTTAAGTATTTATTCCATCCATATCAATATAAACAGTTAGGGTGTGATTGTTGCAGCCCTTTATTTATGAACATTTCCGTAAATAAAGAAAAATTCTTAATAACTACAGTCGAGGGTGAGTACTTAGTTCTATTAAATTTAATAGAGTTCTATTAAAATTGCAATGTTTGCCGCCAAATTGTTGCTACAACATGAAAAAAATAACCCCAAAAGAGACCGCTGAATCCACAAGAATCCAAATCCATTAAACCCTTCTTGATAAAATTAAATAAATTAATCAACTACTAAAACAAAGGAAACAAAAGATCCCATGTTAAACAAGCGAAATAATGAAATTACGAGTATTTTAACGAATCAGCCCGCGCACAACTGGTTAACTGTTGTAAAACTCGTTAATTGTTGTAATTTTGTTTGGGAAACAGGATAGTTTAAGGCGAAAGCATTTTAATTTGGCCCGCGGCGACAATGTGCTATCGTTTTTGCATTTCAAAGGCTGAGTTCACATGGTGAATGGAGTGGAACTTCTTTTGTTTTGATAGTAAAGAGAGTATAAACAAGTGACAGGCACTTACAGATCGATTAATCACTTGCTAATTTAAGTTTTTAATAGCAGTTAGCAGCGTAAGTTGTTTGTCAGATAAAGTTACTGACTGAATATTAATTAATAATACTATAACATTAAGGGTGGATTCGACCAAACAAGAGTAAATATTAATCTCAGAATAAATCGTCAGTTTTGACATATTTCACATACTGAAACTGTCAATGTGCCAGTTATACCAGGAGTTATTCTCATAATCGGGTCTTAGTTTGACAAGTCTCGAATACAGAATCAGATAGCGTGTAAGTAGTCCCTGGTAACCAGCAATCTTTATTTATTTGATAGCGTTAATGTCAGACTATCTGAAACTTTCATCAAAAATCAGTGAACTGAATCAGTTTAAATATAAGATCTTTTTCTTACTCGTACCGACTCTTGATAAATCAATCTGAGTTAAAAATGGCTTGATGGTTTCCACCTTTATTCTGATCATCACCTTTCATCAGACGAGATGCAGAACAAAAGCTTCTCGTCGTTAAAAAATAGTAGCTAGCTTGAGGCACACTGGAAACCAGCGTCGCGGCGTCTTTCCATTCTATACATAGCCAGAACGCAAGGGTGTGAAACTAATCGAGTATAGTTTGGATATGACTTTTTTTACTAAGCTCCTCCAAACTATACACGACCAGTACGCATACGCTGCGTACTGCTCGCGTATACTTTGTAGTGACTTAGGTCAATTATCTTCCTCCAAAATATACATCGCCAGTACGCATACGGACTAATCATGTATGTATTGTAATAAGTGCGTGATTACAATTTATTTATACGCGAGTAGTTAGTTGCATGCTAGTCATTTTGACTTATTGACCTCTCTTTCTATTACATACTAGCTTTCCGCCCGCGGCTTCGCTCGCGTGGAATTTTGTCTGTTACAGAAAAACAATATCGCGCGCGTATTTGCTCACCGTTTAGACCTACCCTGGACTACGACAAACATTTTAAAACCAAAATCAGCTCAATCGGCCCAGCCGTTCTCGAGTTTTAATCAGACTAACGAACATCAATTCATTTTTATTTATATAGATAGATTAATTCATATCTGCGTGTCTACTTTAAACATTGAATCATCTTACGACACGTGTCATTGTTTTGATAAAGGATTTTTTGGTGTTTCTTATTCTGCCATAGAAAAGATATTTGTTTTGGGGCTGATATTTCACCAATTGTAGGTATGGAAATATGTCAAAATGATTTTGTTCTTGAGATAAAAGTTAATAAATAAAATAAATAATAAATAAATATCCTTAGACATTTTACACTGCGCTTCTAGTCCCAAACTAAGCAAAGCTTGTACTATGGGTACTAGACAACGGATATAAACATAATTAAATACTTTTTTTTGTAAATACATACTTATTATACATAGAAAACACCCAGTCCAATACAAACAAATATGTTCATGCACACAAATGTTTGTACTGTGCGGGAATCGAACCCGCTACCACTTCGAACCACTACACCAAACGGCCGACAATACAAACCTAGCATTTAAAGTCTCGCATAATATTGTATTTAATGCGCGTTGAACTTTCTTCTCTCACTCTCTCTCATATTAATTAAATTGTTATTTAATTTGAAATCTACCTAATCAATTTAATTTCAAAAACCACTTACAATAGTTTTAAAAATCTAGATTTACCTATTATAGATTCAGTAAAATAATAATATTTTATGTAATAATATCAAATAAATGTAATTTTAAATATAGTTCCATATTTTACTGAATTTTACTAAATCAATATCAACTAAACACACTCTAGTCAAGTGTAAGTGGTGTAGTAGAAACTAATCGAGTATAGTTTGGAGATGCCTTTTTTTACTAAGCTACTCCAAACTATACACGATCAGTACGCAAAATTCGTGTATAGTTTGGAGTCACAGATTTACAAACAGGCACTCCGAAATATACACGAGCAGTTTCCTATGGGTGCGTTCTGGCCATGTATAGAACGGAAAGACGCAGCGTCGCGACGTGGCCCTCCTCACCGTGAGCCACGGCATATTAAGCTAAGTGAGATATTTGAATTTGGCACTCCGCTGTCAATGTAAGGCTTCCAGGCTTCTGGATCAATCACTCGATCTCATGTAGTCTCTGTGTGCTGTATGTTCTAAAATAAATCCTTGGTAATCTTCGTGGTCTTTTCCTTCTTACGCTCCAACTCCAACAGTCCCATTCCTATTGCCATGCGCATCGCGCTGTTGCGACAGGGTGGCACTGCTCAGTTCACTTCCTCTTTCATTATTATGTTTTAAAATCTTTTTTGTCGTTGTGTGATGCCCATAGCAATTTTTTCTTTCTTTCTAGCTTCTTTTTTGAGAGTAAAAAATGGGTTAGGTATCCTCCAGTATGAGCACACCCTTTCAAATTAACGTTACATTTATGTGAGCATCCTCGCCAAGGTCGGCAGGTGAGTGGCACGACGTCTGCCGGCCGGTCTGATCAGCCTTGCTAATGCCTTCAACTTTTAAGTATCTGACACGCGACGTGACTGTAGCGCGACTTTAGCGCGATTTGACATGTAGTCTATGATGATTTTTGAAAAGAAGTGACTCAAAGAGATGCTGAACTGACTCCGTTATTTCAAAATTATTTTAATCAAATATGTTTTTTTATGCAGAACATCGAAACCAAAAAGAAAAGTTTGTAAGTTTTATTAGAGACCCTTTAAAAGAATACGAAGCATTTTGTGTAGTGAGTGAATGTGGTAGAGCGTAGAATAGTTTCAAAGCGCGTATCTTAAAACAAACATCAGTTAAACAATTCGTCTAGCTAGAACTCTAGATAAAGGGGCAATCAATCATGATGATGTAAAGGAATAAAATAAATCATTTAAGTTTAATCGAGAGCAAATTAATTATATCTATATCAATCATGTTACAGCAAGAAGGTAGGGTAATAAAAACTGCAATAGCTTTACGTCCATTTTTGTATTTTGTAAACATTCATAACTCAACACAGATTATGGAATTGACTCTACTTTTAAGGCTGGGTTGCACCATCTTACTTTAACTTTAGCAAACGTCAAAAATCTGTCAAACGCTATACAAAAAACGCCGGTTATCGTCAAAGTTACGTGGTGCAACTCAGCCTCAAACGTATCAGTAAATACTCATACTTATAGTATGCTTCAACGTTATTTCATAATACAGAAAAAATATTTAATTGGTATTAACGTTAGTTATTACGTAAATTATAGAAGTAAACCGAAACATTAACTAAACAAATGTTAAAGAATGTTACTTCGTCTAGCTAGGGGGAATACTAGCCCCTTTGTTACACAATAATGGACTTAAGTCCGTAAAGAATTATCTTTCAATATAAAGGATCTATAAACTTAAAATTGACAGCCTTTATCGTGCTTTAATGACAGATAAAGATGTGAACGAAGCAACTTTACGTAGAGCATAAAGTTTGTAGCTCCTATATCTGAAAATATTCTTTTATCTTTTACGATATCATCAAAATTTAATTAGTACTAACTACGAGTAAGTTAATAAGGTATCTTCATCAAATAAAGCCCTTTCTTATTTGAATAGAGTGAAATAGAGAGTTAACGTTTGTAAGGGTCACCCATAAAACCAAGTGATATGAAAAGTCAGAGCTGTTTTTGGCAACAAAGAGTGATTCAAAGTCCTATTATTAATGTGAAACTGTTGAGGATGAATGGATATTGGTTACTCTTTCACACTAAAGTTTATTATTATACTAGTGACTCGCGCCAGCTCCGCATGGGTGCTAAGTATACATTAAACCTTCCTCTTGAATCACTCTATCTATTAAAGAACACTGTATCAAAATTCGTTACGTCGTTATAAAGATCTAAGCATACAAAGGGACAGACAGTGGAA